CTACTCATCACCCCCATGTACTCATCCATCTCTCCACCACCTACTGCCCACCCACTGTGGACCCCCTTCACCTGCCTACCTACTCACTCACTACCCACTTGTCACCCATCGCCTCATTCACCCACCCATGTACTACAGAACTATCCCCCCACCCATCTGCCATCTACTCATCCACCTACCGTTCACCCTCCATCCCCCCACTGACACACTATCTACTGTCCACATGGCCAGTGTTGCTCACTCTTAATACATCTGCGGGGATTTAATATGCGTGTGTTGACTGACTGACTGATGGACTGTGAGGTTCACTTCCACCCGGCTCCCCTTGTCTCCTCTATCTCCATTCCTCCCTCCCACCCTCCTTTGTTCCTTTCCTCCTTCTGCCCTTTGGTCCTTCTTTTTGCTTTTCTTCTCTGCTCTCTTCCACCCTTTGCCTAACCCCTCTGCCCATCCTTAGACCCCATCCCTCAGCTCATTCTTGTCTGGATTCTTAAACAGTCTCTGAAGTTATTAGGTTTCTTTTTTTTTTAAGAAATTCTATTTGGTTCTTTATTATGTCCACCATTCTTTTTATCATTGTCCTTTTCCCCTTACATTTTGCGCTCCTCCCACATACAGCTTCTAACCGTGATCATGCTAAGCATTCATGTTTCACAGTCATCCGATTGCCCCAGTAGCTGAAGTCCCAGGCCTGCTGGTGCCGTCTGTTGGGTCTCCTGACATGGTGGGTGGTTTCCTTGGGGGCTTTGTAATGCTGAGCTGTGAGCGCCCCCTAAGCAGGGTCTTAGCTGCAGAATCTATGGCTGGGCCTGGCCTTGAGTCCTTGTGTTTGCTTCAGCCAGGATGCCCTGGGAATTTACCTCCATTTTCATTTTCATGTCACTGAATTGGCTTGAGCGGTTCCTAAATCAAGTGGATTCTCTGCATTTGGACCCCAAGTCAAAATTATGCAAGAGCCTCCTGGCTCTGCACTCTGAACGGTATTTCTTTTGCTTTTTAGCCAAAGCCCAGGATGAAACACATAGGCGTCCTTCTCAGATTGTGCTAGGGCAAAGGTTTTTCTCTAGGTCACCCTTTGACAGAGGTTGGGGTGGGGCATCTTGAGGGTTCTGCATTTTTGCAGTGATCTCTGCACCCTGGACCGAGAGTCCTACTTCCTCCTCCAACCTGAGCATGAAACCCACGAAGGCATCAAGCAGCCATGTGAGTCTGGCAGTCTGGTTTCTGCAGTGTCTGTGCATCTGGTCCACAGGATGCCCCGCACCTTGGGTGTGTGCGTGGGTCAGCCTTTAAACAATGCTTGTTACAGTTTCTCCAGCATTTCTGGCTGGCTGCGGTGGAAGGGGTGCAGACTATCTAGCCTCCAAGGTTGCTGGAGCTAGAAGTCTCCTGGGTCCTTCAGGTTAAGGGAAATGGTTCTGTAATAAGCAGAGATCTGAGAATCCATCGGCAGGAACAGGACACTGGCACCTGAATGCTTAGGAAGGGACCTGGGGTCCAGCCAGGCTCTTGCTTCCCAGCTGTGTGGCCTCGGGGCCTCTCGCCCTACGTTTAACCTCTACCTATAACTGGCTTGTGAGGACTGAATGAGTTGGCGAGTGAGTTCTCTGAAAACTGGCGAGCATTTCCCCAACATAAGGGATGACTTCTGTTCTCCGTAGCAGGAGAAATAGCCACACCTGTGGCCTGACACTCAGCAGGTGCTGGGAGCCATTCATGGAATGAGTGAGGGTTCTTCCCCTGCAGCTCGGAGTCTCCCTGGGACAGCCGCGCAGGGGCCGGATGGACGGGTAAGGCGGGGCGCAGCTTGGCTTCCGCAGATGTAGCCAGGCGGCCCTCCCTCACCAACTCCAAGCGCCTAGAGCAATTAATAGTAATTCTCTCTCCGGCTCTGCTGGGCAGGCCCAGGCAGGGGAGGAGCCTGCCCCGTGGCCTCCTTGTTGTGACTTTACAGGAAACAGGTGCTTGTGTCAATCAGCAGAGAGTGCCTCATGCAGGAAATGGAAAGCGTGTGTGTGTCTGCGTGTGTGTGTGTGTGTGCATGTGCACCCCTGTGTTTATATGTGCCTGCGTGTGTGTGGAAGGGGCGTGCCTGGGGTACCTGTGAGCACCACTTCTGGCCTGGAGGAGACATGATGACCTCAGAGATCCTCATTGTCACTCCAGGGCACACTCCCCTCATTGGATCCAAAAAATCATAGAAATTACAACTCTTTCTCTTTCTGGCTTACTTCACTTAGTATGATAATTTCTAGGTCCTTCCATGTTGCTGCACATGGCATTATTTTATTCTTTTTTATAGCTGAGTAGCATTCCATTGTGTATATATACCACAACTTCTTTATCCAGTCATCTGTCAGTGGACATGTAGGTTGTTTCCACATCTTGGCTGTTGTAAATAGTGCTGATATGAACACTGGGTGCAGGTGTCTTTTCGAATTAGAGTTCCCTCCGGATATATGCCCAGGAGTGGGATTGCTGGATCCTATAGTAAGTCTATTTTCATTTTTTTAAGGAATCTCCATACTGTTCTCCACAGTGGCTGCACCAAACTGCATTCCCACCAGCAATGTAGGAGGGCTCCCTTTTCTCCACACTCTGTCCAGGATTGATTGATTGTGGACTTTTAAATGATGGCCGTTCTGACTGGTGTGAGGTGATACCTCATTGTTACTTTGATTTGCAGAAATGACAACAGTTATTGGCGACCACTGTCTTTCCTAAGTCTCTTCATGTCTTTGACCTCCTTTGATCCTCCCAACCTTCTTATCTGGTAGATAGAGAAGGTGTGACTGGGCCCAATTTTTAGACTTAAAAATATAATCTAAAGGTCGGGTGCCACTGGGCCATCAGAAAGAACCAGAAGTTCTAGGCGATGCCTTACGTGGGCCCTGGCTTTGGTTGTGCCCTGGGTGCTGGGTGAGTCCCTGCACCTGTGCCCCTCAGGGGGAGCCGGGGCTGCCAGAGTTCTGTGGGTGAGGCTGAGAAAGCGGAGGCAGCAGCACACGGGAGGGTTCCAGCTCCCGGATGAAGGTGCATGTTGCTTCCAAGGGATTTCCCGAGGCAGAGCCCAGGTGGCAGGGTGTTGGGGCAGGAGAGTGGGGGCTCTGCCATGTGAGGATGGGCTGAGGGGGAGGCTGCTGCCCTCGGAGTTGCCACGTGAGCTGGTCTGTTCTGACCTCGATGTGGAAACGGGGTTGCAGGGTGACTTGCCCCTATGGGAGAAGTCAGTTCATTTTGGCCTTTTGAGCTGTTGGCTGAAGCTCCCAGACGCTTGATTTTCTCTTCCTGGCCACCAGAGTTTTCTGTTCTGACTCCCAGGAAGCCCTGTGAGCTCTTGGAAGTGGGTAGGCGGGGTAGGAAACATGGAGCTGTTTCTCGTCTCTCCCGGAGCTGGCTGTGCGAAACTGGAGGGTGGGGAGGGGCCAGGGCAGGCCCCCACAGACCCTCTGAAGTTACATTCAGACTGCTGTGTGAATGTGCACTTTGTTGGGGAGAAGAGCTGTTGCTTCCATCGGATGGGACAGTGCCATGACCTTCAGAAGACAGAAACCTCTGAGCGGGGCAAACTTCTGCATCGCCCTTAGCCAGGGTCCTCGCTGGTAAAACAGGACCCAGCCTGCAGACGTGCGCCTCCCAGGCACACCCCATTCTGGGCCCTCCAGCCCCAAACAAAACGGAAACAGCCTGGCTCCCTCCCATGCAGGCGGGGGGCGCTGCCTGTCCTGTAAGTGGCCCTTGACGATTCTCGGTGGCTCAGATACCTCCTGGTCTCCTGCTCTGTACACTTGATAAAAGCCTCACCTTGTGTTCAAAGCCTGTCTTATCTCTCAAGGCAGATGAGAAAGTCGCCTTGAGGCAGGTGACTGAAATCCTCCTACCCCAGTGACAGCACAAGGCCCGTGCAAGGATCAGTAGAGGTCCAGGCCTATTCTCAGGGTGGGGCAGGCCCCTGGGATATTGCCTTAGTCTGCTTGTGTGGACATAACGTAATATCACACACTGGGTGGCTTAGAAAACAGGAATTTATTTCTCGCAATTCTGGAGGCTGGGAAGTGCGAGCTCAAGGTGCCAGCAGATTTGATTCTCAGTGAAGGGCCTCTTCTTGGCTTGCAGATGGCAGCCGTCTTGCCATGTCCTCACACGGTGGAGAGAGAGGGACAGCAGTCTCTCTGGGGTCTGTTCTCATAGGGGCATTAATCTCGTGGCGAGGGCCCCACCCTCGTGATTTCATGTAACCCCAGTCGCCTCCCAAAGGCCCCACCTCCAAGTACCATCACACTGAGGGTTAGAGCTTCAGGACAAGAGTCTGGGGAGGCTGCATCTCAGTCCAAAGAAGACATTGTATGTATTAATACCTCAACCGTCACCAAGGACAGCCCATTTCATCATTTCTCCTGCTACCATTTTTGCCTCTAAAAATCCATTTGTGACATCCAGTGTGTTAATTAGCAAGGCCTCTGGTGTTGATGGAGACAAGAAGACAGAAGCACAGCAGAGGCCACCTCTGGACGGTGGCGTTGAGACCACCCCCTGGAGGGAGACTCTTTACCAGGACAAATGACCAGGACCTGGGTGAGCAATAGCACACTGTCAACTGAAAGCAGTTGAAAGTCAAGAACAGACAGGCGGGCTGGTGGCCAGTAGGAGGGGTCAGATTGCTTAATTTCTCTGTTGTTTTTCATCTAATGGTTTTGTTTTCTGAAGGGCCAGGCAAAGAGGAGCAGCCTCCTCCCCGCTGCTTCCCTCGCGGCTGTGTTTGTTTGTCGGGCATCTCGGCCAGAGATCGGAGCCCTTCCTGCAGCCCCTTCGTGGAGGCAGAAATCCACGCCGCCCTTGTTCACTGGTTGGGTTTTGACATTCCTGACAACTCTGCCCGCACAGATGGTTTAACTGTTTGGCAGAACGAGAGGAGGTGGAGCCCTGTCCCGTTTGTCACCCGCATTCCAGCGACGGGCCGGCCCAGCCGCGGCTGAATGGTGCTCTGTGATCTCCGCCTGGCACAGAGCGCGTCTGGATGCCTGCCGTGCTCTGCTGTGGGCCTCCCCGAGCGCCTGCTCACTATCACGGAGGCTTTTATTTCCTCTGGATTTCCCCGAGTGCGGGCACCTCAACCTTCACACACACGGAGCCGCCGGCCAGCACTTGTGTTGGGGAGTTTGCTTCGCTACGTGCATCGTCATCAGTGTCAGCCCCCGGCCGAGCAGTTATTGGCTGCTTATTATTCCAGACTCACTTGGTTTCATCAGTGAGCCTTCCCTGTGGATGGAGGAAGCTCGGGGAGGATGTGGGTGGGTGCAAATAACCCCCTGGTGAGGAGGATCCCACAAGGAAACATGAGCGAGATGGTCACTGTGTCTCCTTGGTCCACTTTCTGAATTCAAGCATCCTCGCGTTCCCCGTCTGCCGTGCGCGGCTGTTGGAGCTCCGAGCCTCACTCCCCTACGTGAGAGGATTCTCAGCTCTTCACTGAAGGACTTGGTCCTGTGCCTTGGTTTTCCCGTCTCTGAAATAGGGATATTTTTTCCTCCTTGCAATGGTGGTTGAAAAGGTTTAAATGAATTATTTGAGTGTTTCTAGATTTGGTGGGAAGCTTCTCCACAGGAGGGGAAGGCACATAGTGATAGCCAGGGAGGTTTTTCAGATCCACATGCCGTCTACCCCTCCCAGCTGAGAACTGTTGGCTTTGCTTCGTAGAAGGTCAGGGCTCTCCTGGGCGTGGCCTGGGTCCACGGCTGAGAGCTGAGGTCAGCAAACTATATTCCATGGGCTAAATCCGGCCCAGCTTCTGACTTTTTTATGACCCATGAACCAAAAGTAGTTTTTACATTTTTTCAATGATCAGGGGAAAAATTAAAAAGAGAATTATTTCATGACATGTGAAATTCAAATGTCAGTGTCCATGATTCATTTTACTGGAATATAACTGTGCTTTTTGTGGGGTCAGGTTGAGGGGAGTTGCTAATTAGGTCTGCTTATTTATTTATTTAAATGCAGGCACTGGGGGTTGAACCCAGGGCCTCACGCATGCTAAGCACGCGCTTTACCGCTGAACTATACTCTGCCTCCTCTCTCCCACCACTACACCTGCTCTTTATGTGTTTGCCTGTGGCCGCTTATGCGCTGTAAGGGGAGCAGCACAGCAGTGGTTGAGAAGTTGCAGCAGAAACCACATGGCGGGCAAAACCCAGAGCATCTACTCTCTGTCAGAAACAGCCTGCCACTCCCTGGACCCGAGCGGTGATTTTGGGGTCTGAAACTTGCCGCTTCAGTCTTGTCTGTATGAGCTCCCAGCATCCATCTGGACATTTGCAGAATGGGAGAGGTTTGTGATTGTTGCAAAGATACTAACTGAGATAATGCTTGTCAATTTTCAGTATGTGGTAGATGCTTATTAAGTGGAAGTCCCCTCTTTCCCCTTTCTTGACTCTCCTTGGAAAGAAATCTCCACTGGTCGTCACGCAGACACTTCCGGCCACTCAGGAAGCATTCACTCTCAGAGCCTGCTCTGAGCAGGACCAGGAAGCTGAAATCAACCCCCTTGTTGGTAGGGAGCGCTTGGCCCCCTGGAGGGTGACAATGCCGTAGATGATGCTGGTGGGGAAGCCGCAGCCTGGGGCAGTAGGCACTGCTTCAGAGGAGATGAGGCCTGAAGGGTAGCAGTGCCAAGTGGGCACCTGCTCACTTGGTTTGTGGTGACAAGCGCACAGGGAACAGCAAGTGACAGTAAACAATGACAGCGTTATCAAGCACTAGTTGCCTGATGCTGTTCTGGGGTGTGCAAGCTCCGATCCATTTAATCCCACTGCACCCCAATGAGGCAGGTCTTGTTATCAACCACACCACACAGATGGGAGAGTTGGGTACAGATAAAGGTTAATTGCGTGTTCGAGGGTTCCAGGGTTCAAGTCCCAGACGCAGGGCTCCCAAGCCCAGGGTCTTGATTACTGGTCCACAGAGCCACATCAAGGGGTCCTGTCCTTGACCACCAGGCTGCCATGCTTAGACCTGGCCTGAGAGCACTGGGGAGACATGGAGGGGTTTAAAGAGATGGTGCTGTGATTGGGGGCTGTTTTGAAAATCAGAATCTCTAAAATTAGACGAGGCCATCATTAGCCAGAGTGCATTCCACGTAATACTCATTCTTCAGAATGCTAATAGGTGTCACACATGTCCGCAAAAAGGCTGCTATGGTCAAACAAGTTTTGGAAACCCTTGGGTCAAATAAATAGGTTTCTTTACTGCAGAACTTTATAGAGCCTCTAATTAACTAACAGACATCGGGAATCTCCAAGATAATACCATGGCTAGTATGCAATATTCCTCCACTGTATTAGACGATAAACTTTTTTTAAAAAAGGAAAAGAAAAAGAAAACCAGAATCTCTAGGCACACAGTAGGTCTTGTAGCCTGGAGACTGTTACTTCCCCTAATGCCAGCCGTCCTCAGGGCACCATCTTACCCTGTGTGGTTAGAACCTGGGTGATACTGTCTGAAAATAGACATGATTCCAACCCGTGCAGGCAGCATCACCGCACTCACGAGGAGGTGGGGCAGCCTGCTGTTTACCCACGTACCCTGCAGACACAGTGGTAATGGAGCAGGGATGCGGTAGCCCAGCCTTGCCTCCCGGGTTGGAACCTTGGTGCTTTCACCACCAGGGGACCTTGGGCAAGTCACTTCACCTCCCTGTGCTTTGGTTTCGCCATCTGTCAAGTTAGGTTAACAGTGGTGCCATCTGATGGGATGACCAGGAGCATCCAACGAGATGGAAATGTACACACAGCTGTTTGAGCAGTGCCTGCACCTTGGTCAGTGCTCAAATAATAGTGTTACGTAGTTGTTACCACGCCCCCCTCTTGAATGCCATTCCTACAACACGGCAGAAAAAAAACCCCTGCTGTATGATTGAGAGGCCCAGTGCTGACATGCTTTGGTCTCCGAAGCCAAGAGTCTCTTGGCTAATTTGCTAATAAGGTAGAGAAAAGCATCTGGGATCTTCGTCTCCAGCGAAAGGGCTGAGGGTTGGTTGTACAGCATCCCCTTTATGTGTGCGCATGTGAGCATGCGCGCAGGCGCGCACTGGGGTGGGGGGGCGGGGGCACGCTCGCACACACACACGCACATTCGCGCACACACACGCACACGTCCACACGCACATACACACACACGTCAGGCCTCAAAGGCCGGGGCAGCTGGGGTTGGGACCCTCATGGCCTGCGACTCTCCTCCCTCCCACAGAACCGGGTGGACCTGCTGGGGCGGGTGACCCAGGAGCATGAGCGTTTCCAGGCGAGCGTGGACGAGTTCCAGCTGTGGCTGAAGGCAGTGGTGGAGAGGGTGAACAGCTGCATGGGGCGCAACTGCCAGCTGACCACCAAGCACCGGCTCTCGGCGCTGCAGGTAACCGCCCCCCCGCCCCCCGCCACAGACCGGCAAGCCTCCGCCGGAGGGGTCTGCCGAGGGCGTGCTCACACTCAACGTGCTCACACGTTGGAGTTTATTTAATAGGATGGGGCAGCAGGGTGGGCACAAGAAACACAAACATCCCTGCACATAGACCCCACACGAGGAGATGCATGGATCAGGTGCAGAAGGTTTGGGGCCCCGGCTGCTCTATGGAAAGCTCTGAGCCAGCAGGGAGTTAGGAAGCCCAAGGCCACAGCAGCATGGTCTAGACCCGGGGGTCATTTGAGAATGGGGGACATGTGGCCATATCTGGAGACATTTTTGGTTGTCACAACTGGGGTTGGGGGTGGTACTGGTGTGTAGTGGATGGAGGCCAGAGATACTGCTCCACACCCTCCAACGCACAGGATGGCCCCTGACAGCAAAGCCTTGTCTGACCTCAGACGTCAGTATGAGAGAGTGAGGAATCCTGGTACAGGCATCAGACCTGCACGAGGGAGAAGCTGGGTCCACTCTGGCCTTCCTGACTTGCTGTGACCTTGAATGAGCTTCTGACCCCCTCTGTAAAGTGAGTAGGTAGATCATCTTCGATAATTCAAGGACCACTTTATAATTTTTGCCACAGCTATACAGAACCAGTATAATTTATTTAATATTTGTATTTAAATTGATTCTCTAAAAAAAAAAGATGAACTATCACAAAAAAGTTCTTACATGGCTTGTCCAGTTTCCCCCCACTATCTGAAAGTAGAGTGTTATTTGAAACTGTTCATAAGCCAAAATGGTGTAAAGCGAAGAAGCACTTTCTTTCCTTACAAAGGCGAAAATCCTCTCTGGATTTCTTTCAGTTAGCGCAAACAGGTTCTGACGCAGGTCTTTTACAAAAGCGAAGTGGTTGAAAGTGAACTTTTGAAAAGCGGGGTTATCTATATAAGAATGTTCACAGCAATCTTATTCATAACAGCCCTAAACTGGAAACAGTTCAGATTTTTATCAGCAGAGTATTATATAAACATAGTGTAGGATAGAATGTATGTACAAAGGCATACCAGTCAATAGAAAGGAATGAAGTACCAATATACACGACAGCACACAACAACCCAAAACCACTATGCTGCGTGAAAGAAGCCGGTTTCAAAAAATAACCTGATTTATGATTTCAAATACATGATGTTCTAGAATCTTCTGGGACGTTAGACATGCTCTGTATTTTGATAACAATGTGGACTATATGGGCATGCAGATTTCTCAGAACTCTTTGAAGAGTAACCCTTAAGATCTGTATATAGATTTTCATCAACTTACAGTGAGTCTGCCTCCTGCTAAACCCATCATAAGTTGAAAACACTGTAAGTTGAAAATGCCTTTAATAAGCTAACTTACCAAACATCATAGTTTAGCCCAGCCGAACTTAAACATGTTCAGAACACTGCCGTTAGCTTACAGTCACGTAAGACAAAGACTGTTTTATAATTAAGTGTTGAATATCTCATGTAATTTACTGAATCCTGAAAGTGAAAAACAGAGAGATTTACACTCACTGCGACTGCCCAGCATTGCAAGAGCGTATCCTACCACGTATCACTAGCTCTAGAAAAACATCAAGATTCAAAATTCCAAGTACAGTTTCTACTGAAGGCATATTGCTTCCACACTTTCATAAAGTCAAAAAAATCAGACATCGAACCATTGTAAATCAGGTACCTTCTATATTTTCTTCCATGTAAATTTCATTTCAGTAAAAAAGTGGAACACATACACATTCCTATATATAAAATAGATAAACAACAAGGACCTACTGTATGCACAGGAAACTATATTCAATTTCTTGTGATAACCTATAATGGAAAAGAATCTGAAAAAAATACATATGTATGTTTATATATAACTGAATCATTTTGCTGTACACCTGAAACTAGCATTGCAAATTAACTACATTTCAATAAAAAAGAATTTTAAGTAAGTAAAAGTAAAAAATAAATTAAAAAGTAAAGTTAAAAAGTGAAAAAATATCTTGAGGGTATTTTCAAGTAAAACAGAGTTAAAGATTTGTTTAATTAAAGATTTTTTCATTTTAAAAAATAAAATTAGAATTAAAATTAGAATTAAATAAAAAGAATAAAATTAGAATTAAATAAAAAGAATAAAACGAAGATTTTTAAAAAATTAAAAGCCAATGAACATTTATTTTATTTTAAAAGAAAATTTATATCGTGGTAAATTGAGTATCAGTATTCATTCATAATTTGCTGATTACCGTACAAATAGATATAATGAAGTCAAATGGGGTCATTAGGTTCGGTTTGGCCCCATACTTTAGCCAGCTGAAAACAAGCCTGAGGCTGCCTCTGTCTTTGTTAAAAAGGAAGATTAACCAATGTCCAAGAATGCTGAAGAAGTGCCTAACAGAGACTCTCCCCTTGACTTAATCAAATGGCTTGTAAAAGACTTGGGGAGGGAGCGACCTCCTCGGTGGCGTGAAGGCGGACGGCCCGCCCCTCGGAGAGGCGCCTCTGGCTCTCACCCCGGAGTCCAGGGCTTAGTTCTTGGCGTGACGTTCCCGGGGCCCTGGGAAATGCAGTGGGTGCTTTCTTCTTCCCCTCATATTTTTCCCCGCCCCCTCACCCACTTTAGGACATCGCCAGTGACTTTCCCAGGGGTGAGGAGTGTCTGAAGAGGCTGGAGGAGCAGGCCGTGGGGGTCATCCAGAACACCTCTCCTTTGGGTGCAGAGAAGATCACCGAGGAGCTGGAGGAGATGCAGAACGTTCTGGAGAAGCTGCGTGGGCTCTGGGAGGAGGAGGAGGGGCGGCTGCGGGGCCTCCTCAAGTCCAAGGGAGCCTGTGAGCGGCAGAGGAAGCAGCTGGAGGCCGAGCTGGCCGAGTTCAGGAAGGGCCTCCAGAGACTGGAGGAGGAGGGCCTGGAGCCCACAGCCGAGGCGGGGACCGAGGACGAGCTGGTGGCCCGCTGGAGACTCCACTCGGTAAGCAACTTTGGCGAAGCCACAGGCCAGACTTGGTGCTGTGTGTGCCTCGGGGCATCCCCCCTTGGACCTCCTCTGTGTCGTGGCAGAATCATCTAAGTCTCCAGCACACTCACTCTGGTTTTCCTGGATCTTTGGTAATCTAAGTTCCCTGAGCATAGTAGACAAATTAAGTGTTTGTGCCCATTTTCCAGATGAGGAAACTGAGGTCTGGAAAGTTTTTTTTTCCTTTCCCCCAACATCCCCAGGATCACACGATGAGTAAGTAGGAGATGAATTGGTTCCAGATTTGGCATTCCCTTGCCCGATAGTAAGATGTCATGGGGAGGGACTTCCTAAGCACAGGGCAGGGAGGGTCAGGTCAAAGGGAAGGCTCTTAGTGCAGAGATGCAGAGGAACAAACATACTGAAGGTTTTGAAGAGACCAAGCACGTGCGTCCATCCTGGGGAGGGTGGGTGGGTTCCAACCCAGACACGATGTCCAGTCAGATCCCCCTCCCCCTCCTCCACCTGGGGGCACTCTCACTGGAGGTTTGACTTGAGGACGGAGAGATTTTTCAAGTACGGATTAACACCTTCCCCCACTCCTATCATTAGTTATTAACTCAGCGGATTAGCTCAATGTCAGTTCCATTAAAGGAAACATCTAAAAGAAAAGCCACCCAGATCCCGCCTCCACTCCACATTGTTCTGGTATTTTTTCCTCTTCCTTCTGACGTTTGCCATGTGCAGAGATATTTGTGTGAAGGTAGAAACAGAGAGCACACACCCTGTGGGCTCTCTCAGCCTCGAAGGAGGCCGGGTTCCACTGTAATGATCAACTTCACACAAAGGGGTTGTTTCCCCTTTGGGACTGTGTGTCCCAGCACGAGGTAGAGGCGTGCAGCTGGTGTTAAGGGCCGGGACTCTCAGATCACACTGCCCGGGTCCACGTCCTGGCTCCTCTCTTTGCCAGCTGGCTGGCTTTGGGAGAATCACGTTTTAGTCTCAGTTACGTGAGAAATGGGTGTGGTCATAGGAGGACTGACCTCACACATTCATTATGAACATGTGAAAACAAAAAGTGCTTCGAGCAGCATCAGCGATCCATCGATCGGAGAGTACTGGCTTTTAGGAGGAGTTCTGGGTGAGGGACAAGGTCAGAGGGTGCAAACTCGGGAAGGTAAGGCCTGGAAAGCCCTGCCAACACTCCCTGCCACGACAGACACCTGCCTGGGCCCAGTGATGTTTCAGGAAGGCTTTCCTGAGGCGGGAGGCTGACCGTGTCCCCGCAGGGGCTGTCTGTCCCACCCAATTCGGGGGTCAATTATGACCAAGCTGTGACTCACTGGAAATCAATGAAAGGGACTCTCAGACTTAATTGGAAGACTTTTGTTCTTAAACTAGCATTTATGTAGTAAGACGTGCTCCTGCTTTGTACTCAGTGTCTCGTCAAAGCGGGGTGGTCCCATGCCCCAGGCCGTGCAGCTGCGAAGGGCTGGAAGTGTCCTCTCGGAGCCACTCCTGCAGCCACCTCCCTACCCTGCCTCCTACCGAGCATGGGCCCAGGAAGAATTAAGGTCGAGATCAAACTCCCAGGGCAGCAGGAAGGGCCACAGCCAAAGTGTCTCAAGTGCCAAATGGAGCAGTTCGGACGTGCTGGGTGAAAACACCCTCTTGCCCCGCCCATCACAGTAACCGGATTCACCGAGCACTTTTAGATCATTGCTTCCTCTGGTGCTGAAGAGGCAGGTTAAAAGCCAGAGGGCCCGGCTCCAGCGTCAGGTCCACCGTTTCCCAGCTCTGTGACCGTGAGAACACTCTTAGCTGGAGCTTACTATCAGACGGGGACACAGAGAATTACCTTCCAGGATCATTGCCAGGCTCAAATGAATGGGACCCCAGAGCACGCAACATGGTGTCACTGTTCCCTAGATGTTACTCATTTGTATGATTAGGCGCTAGTTTCGGTCGCGACAGCGCTGGGAGGCAGGTGACGGTAAAGAGGAAACCAGCTCATCGAGCGTGAACCCCGTGCTTGGGGTCTCGGTGCGGGAGCGGGGAGAGCAGGGGCTGAGTTCACGGGGGCCCCCGTCCCTGCCCTGGGGACAGTTTTCTCCTAGGCCAGCCCCCTCCCGTGGGCCGTGCTCATCCCGCTGCACACACAGCCCCGTCCTGTCACAAACCTCACTGCCCCTCGGGTGTCATCTGTTGCTGCAGGCGACCCGGGCGACGCTGGCCGCCGAGGAGCCGCGGGTGGACCGGCTGCAGGCCCAGCTGAAGGAGCTCATCGCTTCCCACCAGGACCCGCAGCCGCTCTCGGACAGAGTGGTCGCTGCCATCCAGCAGTACCAGAGGTACTGGGCAGGCTGAGGGCGGGCCGGGACCCCACGCTCAGGGCGCCTCTAACACCATCTCCAGAGAGGGGCTTGCGCCCTCTTACTACCTGTAACTCTTAAAATAATCCTCGCTCCTCTCAATGACTGGCTGTTAGAGGCTCTCACTGGGCTCTGGCACTGTCCCCTTCGCACAGTATTTTGCATTTTGCTCCTAGAAGGAAGCCTAAACTCTGCTTTTTCCCATGCTATGTGGCCCTTCATTCATTGCCGTCAGGTCTGTTTGAACAGCTTAGCACAGGGGACGAGTCCGCATGTAATGGTCCAAGGGGAGGGCTTTTCCGTAGGCAAACATCTTACCCCCGCCTGCTGACGGCGCTGAAGTAAGCACCTGGGTGCATCTTCAGACCAACCTCTACCTGCTCCTCGGCTCATGGGCTCGGGCACAGCCAGGTGTCCAGCTTCTCCGCTCAGCAAAGGCCAGCCGATCAAATGGCCACCCTGTGTGGAACTGGGCATAGTGTAAATTTGGAGTCTGTACCTGTTTTTACTACATGAGTTTCAGAGGTGTTCCAAACACAGCCCAACTCTCCACATCGCTGTGGCACCTCTCATTCCCCTACCTGATACAGGGGGGTTTTCTAGAATGATCTAGGGAGCTCCCGCCTTGCTGGATGTCTCTCACCCAGCAGGCCCCACACCGCACATCCCGAGCAGGGGCCTGGGTCCCCCAGGGGGTGCTAAGCTGGTGGGGGGGGCCTGAATCCCTGCTGCACAGAGTGGGCAGGGGGCTGGGGTGGCCAAGGTCGCCCTGTCCCCCATTGTTCCTGTTGAGGTATCAGGTGCTGGTTATCTATGACCAGGGGCTGGACATTGTATTCAAAAAATTATTTGTAGAAATTAGTCGGGCCTAGAAGAAGGGAATCTTAAGAAAGGATTCTGCTTGCTTCTGCAAGGTGCCGGGGGTGGGCAGGACCGTCTAGGGTCTCGGTAATCCCTCTTCAAGGCTTGACTCTTTCCCTGGTCGCGAAGCGGGGCCGCAGGTCTGTATGAGGCCGGGCTGTGTCCTCCAGGGCACTGCCACCCAGAGCCTAGGCTTCGGGGTCCCACAGACACTCCAGCCTGTGGCGTAGGAGAGAGCCCACCCTGGGAGCCGCACAGGCCAGGCTCTCTGGGGGTCCAGACAGGGGCCTCGCCCCCACACTGACCCCCACTCTCCTCTCCACCCACCCTCCATGGCACTCGCAGCATGAAGGCGGAGAGCACCAGGCAGCGGAACGCGGCGGGCGTGGCGCTGTGGCAGCGCCTCCAGCGGCCCCTGCAGGCCCTGCAGCTGTGGCGGGCTCTGGCCCAGAGGCTCCTGGATGTCACCACCAGCCTTCCGGACCCGCCCTCCATCCACACCTTCCTGCCGCAGATTGAGGTAACTGTGGCTCTGTCAGGAGGGCTGATTGACGCAGCCGGGGGAGGCCACCAGCCAAGCATGGCATTTCAGCCACTCCTGCAGGGAAAGGCGTGTCCCTGGGCCCTCCAGCTGTCTGGGTAGAGCTCCTGGTACCCTGTCTGGCCAGTTCTCAGTGTACAGTGTACACTTGTAGTTATGGGCGACAAAAGTCATCCTCAGTTCTGGGGTAGAAGGGAAAGCCTGGTGCCTGGGTGACCCTCCCACACCCCTTGACCTCAGGACCCCGCTGCAGGCAGCCCTGGGAGAAGCAGGAGCAGTGCTGAGAGAGCAGGATGCCAGGCACTACCTTTACTGTGTACCAGTTGGGAGGCATGTGACAAGTGACAGAAATCCTGACCAGGGATGGCTTAATACTCAGAGACTTTCAGATGGTCCCAGAGCTGGCTTGACAGCTCAACAGTATCGTCCAGGCCCTGGGCTCTTTCCAGCTCTAAGCCATGTCTCCCCGAGGTGGCTGCCACCGTTGCAGGCACGCATCCTCACGTGAACAACACCTTGTGCAGGAAGGAATGGCCTGGGGGCGAAAGGGCTTCGTCCACCCGCCATTTCCAACAGGGAGGCAAAGTCCCCTCCCCAGGAGCCCCGGTGGACTCCCCTTACATCTTGCTGGCCGCGCTGGGTTACATGACCGCCCCGAACCAGCCACTGGCTGAGGGTGGGGGGATTGCCAAGACTGGCTTGTGCCGATTGTAGACATGACCCTGCCTTTTTAAAAAATGAGTAAAGAAGACACTTTAGGTGATACAGACAAACTTTATTTCACACTTTATGAAGTGGACAGTCCTTTTGGAGAACTGAAAAATGGGCAGGAAGGCAGGAAGGCTTTATAGAATAAAGAATAAAAAAACAAGGGAGAGAAAAATAAAAAATATCTGACTGGCTGGGGCCACAGAGTCAGCCTTGTCTGGGGTGAGAAGGGCCAGAGCCACCGTGGCGTTTGGGCGCTGGCTGGCTGGGTGCTCTGCGTTTCCGCTCAAGGGAAGCCTTTATAGGGACTGAAGTTTTGGTTTGTTGCCGTGCAGCCATCTTGCCCTAGAAATTTATTTCAACACCTGTCCGTGGGCACTTGGCCACCCAAGCCAAACCCTGGTTGTTTGGTGAGGAGGAGGAGGAATTAGGTTGGGTGAGCAGCTGGCAGTGTCTGCCCCAAAGGCCTGTCAACTTGGGTGCTGTGACTTGGCTGTAAACACGGCCTGATGGTCACTCGGAGCTCCGAAGCCATAAAAGGCTTCTGGGTCTAGAGATGCCAGGACGTAGAGCAGGAAGAGACACAAACAGCTCAGGGGTGACCCCGTTTTATGTTTATATTTATAATCGCTTTGATTATAGACGTCATACCTACTGGGAGAGTGTTAAGATTTCTGAAGAAGAAAACAAAGCCATTGACAACACCACAAGCCACAGGACCCACTGTTAACACACTGGGGCACTTTCTCCAACACTTTTCTGCCCAACTTGGTATTTCTAGGGGGAAACATTAACCAGGGTTGGCCCCTTCTCACTCACAAGCACTCTCCTCACCCACAGACCTGTACCTGCATTTTGGAAAGTCTACCCTCACGGTTTTCCAGTTGGGATTCACACCGGGACAAGAGTTTGTTTTCTCTCTCCATTGTTCTGAACCTTCTTGGCATGACATTTCCTTCCTGGGGCAGCGGGGGGTGGTCCTGTGGGCTCACTTCTCCCTAGGCTCCAAAGAATGATGGTGTATCTTTTTGACATACTCCTCAGGGCTCCCCAAAATGAATTTCATGTGTGCCACAAACCTCAGTTTTAGGTCAGACAATCCCAAATATGCCCTTTGTATCTGATGCAAATCCATCTAGCCATTTTCGAGAGATAAGGCCACCAGTGGACAGAAACTTTAATTAATCATTATCATTTTTGTGTATTTGGGATCATGACATAGAGCTGTGCATTCTGGTCTTTTTAGTTGACACATTTCAGCATCATTTAAAATGGTTCAATAAAGCCATCACTTTAAGTGGCTGCAGAACATTGTATCTGGGGGCATGCCATTATTATTTTTTTTAAGTATTCACAATTAGATAAATAAGGTTATTTCCAATTTTCATTGTGGACGAGGGATCGGAGCCAGGGAGAAGTTAGGGTGCTTGTTCAAGGTGAGGCCGCTCAAGCGAGGCCGAGCTGGGGCCGGAACGGTGGGTTCTGGACTCTCATCTAATGTTCTCTTCCCTGTTCTCACTTTGGCTCCTGGAAACAGGCGTGTGAGGCAGGCAGAACAAGTCTTTATCATTTGACTGTTGGGGAAACCAAGTCTGTCAGAGGGGAAGCACCTGCTCAAGGTCACACAGCCATTAGGTGACAGGTCTGGCTCTGACCCAGGCTTGTCTGACTTTCTCAACTGTGTCACGATTATATTTCATCCTGCCCTTCTCACTGGGGCAGAAAGCAAACCAGGACCTCCTTGAGGCAGGAGGGAGGTCCTGTCTTTCTAGAGTGTGACCCAGGAGCAGTGGGTCGGAACACGTTGGACAAGGACCTTAGTTTGTTCACGTTTGGATGCTGCTTGCTGGCTGAGGGTACGTCTTGTCTGACTGTCACCGGCCTGCCCCGGTGGGGTGGATTTCACAGGCCAGTGCTCAAGTGGCCAGCCTCCTCTTTTCTTGACTCAGCTTCTACGTCTAGCCTCAGAGCAGGGATCTGCAAAGTTCCAGCCAAAAGCTGGCATGGCTGGTGTATTAGTTCCCTGGGGCTGCCATAACAAAGCACCAAAAACTGAGTGGCTTAAAACAACAGAAATTCATTCTCTCAAAGTTCTGGATGCTGGCAGTCCAAAGTCAGGGTGTCAGGAGGGCCTCGCTCTTTTCAGCATCTCTAGGGGAGAATCCTCTCTTGCCTCTTCTAGCTTCTGGTGTTTGCCAGCAGTCGTTGGTGGTTGCTGACTTGTAGCTTCATCACTCCAATCTAAAATTCAGGTCCTCCCTCCGCATTTCTGCCAGCCTATTTCTCCTGTTGGCCCCTTCCTCAGAAACTAGCACCAAGGTGCAGCCTCCCAGGCAGTTGCAACCAGAACACAGGTGCACACCCGGCGGTGTCTCAAACTTGGTTGGTTAACGGAGGCCTTGTCTCCCACAGGCGGCCCTGGCAGAAAGCTCCCGCCTGAAGGAGGAGCTGACGATGCTGCAGCTGAAGAAAGAGCTGCTGGGCGGCATCTTTGGCCAGGAGCAAGCCACGACCCTGCTGGAGCAGGTGGCCACCTCCGTGAGGGACAGAGACCTGTTGCACAACCGCCTTCTGCAGAGGAAGAGCAAACTGCAGGTGAGGCCCGCCCACGGGCCCGCAGCACACGGCCCAGCTTTCCAGGGAGGGGGCACCCCTCCACCACACGTGACTGTGTGGCCCTGGGCACATCCCCACGACCTGAGGCCCCTCATCTATAATCTGGGTAGAATTATTGCATGATCCCTCCTACCTGTCTGCCCCCTGATCCTGCCCCCTGCGCCTGCCCCCAGTTGAACTGATCAGCTTTCTGCAGAGAGCTGGGAGGTGTCAGAGTGGAAAATGCGGAGAAAAACACTTGTCAGCTTTAAACCATGGGAGAGTTGGAAGCTATTATTCTTAGGGACCCACTTCTAAGTGATCACACAAAATCAAACATGTAACTTGGGATGTGATGGACAGTTTATTCTTGCCTGTAACAAGCGTTTGCTGAGCATCAGATGATGATGATGATGATGATCTATGGGCCAGAGCATCACATCCCTGGTCTCATCTCATCCAAGCAGCAATCATGTAGCAAACATTAATTTAGGGTTTGCAGGGTACATGGTCTCTGTTGCAGCTTCTCACCTCTGCCATGAGAACAGCATGAGAACAGCGAGCTGTATGTTAACGGACATGGCTGTGTTCCAATAAAACTTTATTTACAAGCACAGGCCTCCGGTGGGATTTGCGGGATGTGGTACGAGATGTAGTGGGCTAGCCCCGGCTCTAGAGGGCACAGCTGCTGTTAGGTGAGGACACCATGGTGACTCTGAGGAGGAGTGTCTAACTCCCTCAAGGGCTCCAGGAGGGCTTCCTGGAGGGGGCGGCATCTGAGTGAGTACAAGCAGGGCAGGAGAAGGCTGGGGAAAGAGCAGCTGGTCTGTGAGTGTCAGGTTGTGCCACAGGGGGCCTTGAAGAGAGCTGATCTGTGTCCTGCCTGTCCTGTCCCTGCAGAGCTCTCTCACTCAGCACAAGGACTTTAGAGCGGCTTTTGAGCCCCTGCAGAGGAAGCTCTTGGATCTCCAAATCAGGGTCAAAGCTGAGAATGGGCTTCAGCGGGACCTTCAGGGGAAACAGGCCCAGCTCTCCAGGTTGCAGGTAAGGGGTTCCCCTGCTCGGGTGCTCAGCTGCGTCTCAAGTCAGCTCACCCGCAGTAGCGGTAACCAGCAAGGCAGCAGCCAGCCCGAGCCGGAGAGCGAGACCCTCCGTTGGGGTCTGACCTCTCCTCTCACCTGAATCTCTGCTGACGCACCTGCTGGGTCCTGGCCTCGGCAAGGCCTTCAGCACCTCCAAGCGGCTGATTCTTAAGCCTCATGAAATGATAAGCTGTCCTCTTGCTTCTCCGTGGTTCGTGTCTAACACTGGTACTTGTTTTTAAAGTTGCTTTGCTAAGTGTTCCGGATGTGTCCAGAGGCTTTCAGTTAAATAAACCGATTTGGGGATTAAGAATAAATGTTTTAAAACACATGAACTGTACACAGGCTGATCATCGGCTGAAGGAGAAGCTTGCTGGTTTTTAAAATGCATGTGAAACAACAATGATCTTCTTAAAACCCAAGCACAGCTCATACATGAACTGGGAGTGTTCTTTGGAAGACATGAAAAATGGTGCTTTGGGGGCTTTAAAACTAAAGCTGGGATGTGATTTCTTCACAGAAAGAGATGGTCCTCAAGTAAGAGTCCAGACATGAGTTTGTCCCCCAGAGGCACCTTCTGGTCTTTTGCAGTTTATTTTCATGGTGTCTCAGAATATTTTCATCTCATTTTAAAAATTCTCACCAGTCCTGAGAGTGGGCCCATCAGACAGCCACAGGGTGTAGCTGATGGAGTGGGAGGTCCCGCCGTCCCGGGAACCTCCCAGTCTCTCCCGTACAGAGCCCCCCACCCCGATCAGCCTCCCTGAGGACAGACAGAAGACACCCACCCGTTCCTTCCCCCATTGCAGGGGCTGCAGGAGGAGGGGCTGGACCTGGGGGCGCAGGTGGAGGCCACGAGGCCTCTCGTCCAGGGGAACCCCACCCACCAGCACAAACTGGACCAGCTTTCCGCCGACTACCAGGCCCTGCAGAGGTCTCTGGAGGTAAGAGGAACTGACAGAGGCTCTGTGCTGTGACAGAGACCCGGCCCCTGGACTTTGTCCCCAACCCTCCTGGGGACTTTCTCCCTCTTTCCTTCCTTGGTTCCTTCCAACGCTTTCTTTTCTTTCTCCCTTTCTTTCTTCCCTTCCTCATTCATTCAGCAAGTTATTGAGCACCTCCTGTATGCCATGAGCAGGACGGCCAAGGCCCCTGCTCTCCTGAGGTTTACGTTCTAGTGGGTCGATGGACAGTAGTGAGTCAGCCACAAGGTAAATATACAATTCCACGTGTGCCGGGGCGTGAGAACGGAGCAGGCTGCTCAGACTTAACAACAGCCTGCAGGCGTAGCCCCTGTCGCGTTTGCTGCATTAATGCCAGGTTGAAAGGTGGGTCCTGGTGGCCGTGAGCCTTGTCTGCAGTGCCCTCTAGTGGCCACTGGATCATTCTGGTGTCCAGCCAGGACGGATGCTCCTCTGGTAGTGAGGACAGAAATGGCTGTAGGGTGTAGGATGGCTCCTTCAAAACTGGCCCAAAGGCAAGTTGAATGCAGGCTCCAGGCCCCACCCTGACACTGACTCAGTTGGAATCCTGGGTCCGCATTTGTAAAAGTGCCCCAGGAGTGCAAAGCCAGCTCTCAGGGAGCCACACCTCAAGAAAACTTAGTCTAAGGCAGGGTTCTCCACCCTTCCAGACCCTGCACGCCCTATTTTAATACCAAATTCTTCTGACATCCTCTTTGCGATCTGGAAATTCACAGATAGTATCAGTTACCCACACAATTTTAAAATTTAAGAAAATGCTTCTTCTAGCATGGAAGAGAGAAATAAAAGGAAAGTAATTATAATAAAATAATGCCATTCAATAAAGTAAGTACTCCAAGATGACTGCACCAGTAACATCGGGCGGTGGTCAGAAGGCACCACCTCTGCTCCACAGCCACGCATGCCTCTAGGGATGAAACTTCCTGAAATGTGAATGGCTCTTGGTAACGTTTCAATCAAACCAGGGCACAGTCTTCCATCAATTGCTAAAATGGACGCGTCCCTGGAAAAGTCAGCATGTTTCCTGAAACCACAAAAACCTCTTTGTGTTTGTATGTTAACTGAAGTTAGATCCTGAGCTTGGGTCATGATAAACAGGGTTTTCACTTTTGTGGATAATCAGCAGGGCATGAAAAACCTTATGGGATGGGGGCAGTTCCACGTTGTTCGTCTAAGTGAGATGAATTCACTGAATTCCATTTAATAAACTAGCAGCGATGGTCTCAGGGTCGAGGCAGGGGAAGTAGGGGACAGGAATCACTGACCGTCCTTGCTCTTCAGGGACCCACAGAGCCCACAGCAGCAGAAACATCAGTGTTAATGTCTCCATCCCAGTGATGAGCTAACGGAGCACTACAGCAATTAGAAGACGCGTTAGCTGAGCACCAGCATCGTAAGGGGCTGCAGAGTGGTGATATTCCAACTCTCGCCCACTCCTTTATTTATTGTTGAAATACTTCTTCAAAGAAGCATTGTCCCTCTTTTATTATTTTGGTGCTCAGTGCTTTTTAAGTCTCTTCAGTTCTAATAAGTCCTTCCCCCACAGCCCAGGTGATCTTCCTGTCCCTCTGGGGAACCCATACCCCACTGGGCAAGAAAAGGGGGGCACTGAACACATCGCATCAGATGTTGGTGCCCAAGGGATGGGAGGGGATGGTGGCAGTGAGACTGCAGGCAAGTCCCCAGCTCCTAGTGGGCCTGGCATCCAGCAGTGTCAGCCCGGGATGCAGGGCGTCAAGGCCTGCGATGACCCCCCAGAGAATCACAAGGACCTCAGCTGGGGATCACAGCAGGAGAGGGGCCCACAGCCCCGGGGGTCTGGCTGGCCTGTGGTGGGCTAGGAGTGAAGGGCTCGAAGGGTCCCAGGAGGACAGAGAATGGTTACTCTGCTCGATGTGGCACCCACCTTTTGTGGAGACAGAGATGAACAAGCCCCAGCCTCAGAGAGCTGAGCCACGATTGACCCAGGGGAGGGGAAACAAAGCAAGACCATAAAAAACCTTTTTTATCGAAGTATAATCATATACAGAAAAGTGAACATCTAAGCATGCAACTTGATGCATTTAAAAAACTGAAGATGTCTTTGTTAGCAGCACCCAGATCATGACACAGAATAATACTTATCCTCATGCCCCACCCAGTCACTGACTACTCCTGACACCTGAAGGTAACCCTGACCTTCGACTTGGTGCGGCATTGACTGGGTTTGCCTGATTTTATACGTTACTTCAATTGAATCAGACAATGTTTTATTTCGGTCTGGCTTCTAACCCTCCACCTGATGGCTGTAAATCCATCCATCATGTTGCTCTGGATTGTTGTGTAGATTGTTCATCCTTGCTGTGGTGAAATATTCCATCGTATGCATATACCTCGGCACATTTATCCATCTACCGTTGACGGGCGCTTGGGCGGTTCCCACTTCGGGGCTGCCACGGGCAAGACCACACGCACGCCTTTTGGTGAAGATGTGTTTGCATCTGTGGGGTTACACCCAGGGCTAAACGGTTAGGTCACCGGGAGGCCAGTGTTTGGTTTTAGCAGATAGTGACCTAGGATTTTCCCAGGCGGTTGTACCAATTTATACCCACACCAGTGATGGACAAGAGCTCCCACTGCCCACACCCTCATCCAGACTCGGTACTTTCCATGAAAGAAAGGCAGGCTTAGAAGCACTGTAGGCCGGAGCTGGTCTTTCCGGGATAAATTCCTTGCACTGTGCAGAAGACAGGACCAGCCTCTCGTGTTCGTTGCTGGGTGGGGGCCATCTTGCCCCAGGGCTCAGGCAGGGCTGAGTGTCCTGCAGGGGGGTTGGCCCAGGGTCTCGGTGTTGGGCTGTGCTCAGGATGCCCTGCATTCCCTGGATCTGTGCTGCAGGACCTCGTGGACGGGCGCCGGCAGAGTGTGCGGGAACATTGCACCTTTAGCCACGAGCTTCTGGAGCTGCGACAGTGGATTGCTGTGCTCACGCAGAAGCTGGAGTCCCACTGTGGGGACACGAGCCCGTGGGATGCCCAGTCCCGGGAGATCGAGGTCCAGGTCAGGTGGCTCTCCCCACAGAGATGCTGATTCTCTCCCCTGCATCCTGAAAAAGCAGGTTTGGGAGGCCAGCGCTCATACTGGGAAGCAGAGACCCTCTCCCCAGGATCTTACTGTGTGTGTGTGTGACCTTCAGGGACTGCTGGCCGAATTCCCGGAGAAGGAGGCCCAGCTGCCCCTGATCGAAGCACACGGCCGGCTGGTGATGGAGAAGTCTTCTCCAGAGGGGGCTGCTCTGGTCCGGGAGGAGCTGGAGGAGCTGGCGGAGTCGTGGGGGGCCCTGAGGCAGCTGGAGGAAAGCCTGCTGAGGTGAGAGGGCCTCTCAGCTGTGAGCCGGGTCTCAGACAGCACCTCCTTCCCATCCAGGGAGGGCTCGGTGGTGCTTCTGGAACAGATGGCTGGGGTTCTGCTGTGTGCCAGGCATGGTGCCTGGGGCCTCTGGTCATCTCCAGGCAATTCTGAGCAGGGGCAGAACTCCCTGCTAGCCCCCAGTCCCTTCTGACTTGGGCCTGACCTGCATCGCTGGGTGTGTACACCTCGATGGCAGTATGTGCGTCTCAAGCAGGAAACTGGAAATGCACATGCCCTGGGGATGGTCTGACCAACCTGGAGGATAGGTGCCGATGTATGAAGACCAGAAATCACTTCCCACTGCGTGATGCCCCAATTCTGCTACTGCTCCCGTGACCTGGGGTGTCCTCGTCCCATCCATCACTGTGTTGACCGGGCTGATTTGTCTTCCAGCCTCATCAGAAACCAGCAGCTGCAGAGGACGGAAGTGGATTCAGGGAAGAAAATGATTTTCACCAACAACATCCCAAAGACCGGGTTTCTTATCACCCCCACGGATCTTATATCCCGACATCACCGTCAGGTGAGTCTGTCTAGTGGGGTTTCTGGGGAGGGACTGGATCTTGAATCAGTCGATGGTGGGAAAATGTCTCCAGCAAAACCCCCTCCCTGCCTGGGCCACATGCTCAGCTCAAGACCCGGCTGGGTCCCGTCTCAGGTGAGCCTGCCCGGCCAGGGCACAAGTACGCCTTAGACCAAGGCACTGAGAGACCCCAGACCCAGGGGTCCCCATTGGGGAAGGCCCCGGGCGTCCTTTAGGCAGACAAGCCCTCACCTTCAGAAACCCCAGCTGCTGCCCTTGCAGGGAGGAGAGTGTCAGGGCTGGAAGCTTCCTACCAGCCCCACGTGGCAAACTGAAAGCACACAAGGGAAGCACTTTTTGTGCCATAAGTTCTATTTTGTAAAAAGAGCTAGCCTGGCTACCTCACACGCATCCCTTCTGCTGACTGCCTTTAGTAAGCCGAACCACATTGAAAAGAAGTTCATTCGTTGTTCTTTAAAGACAACACATCCATTCATTCATCCTGCCATTCATTCCTTCATTTCTCCGTCCAGAAAGCACTTCCTGGCGTTACTATGTTCCCAGGACTGTGCTTGGAGCAGGGACACTGCTGTCATTAAAACGGAAACACTTCCAACCTTCAGAGAATGTAGGATCCAGCACAGAGCTTTCCAGATTGTTGTGTGCATCTGGATCGTATTAAAATGCAGATTCTGATTCAGCGGGTCTGGAGCAGGGCATGACTCTGCATTTCTACTAGCTCCCAGGCAATGCCTCGGCTGCTGGGCCTCGGAACACATTTTAAGGAGTACGGAAGTGGGAACCAAGTAGAGTAAGTTTAAGAGCTTGCGGTCTGTGGAGGCAGGGCGCCAGATGCTATGGCAGCTGGCTGCAGAGTGATGTGACCTGCTTCTGGGGGAGCAAAGCCCTCCTGGGAGAGGTGAAACATCGGGGGGATCCTCAGGGCTGAGTGGAGGCAAGCATAGGAGCGGAGGGGCTGCATCCCATGCAAAGGAGACTGTGTGCAAAACCCCGAGGGTGAGAGCACTGGTGCTGGGACCTACATGTGTCTGGGCTCCAGCTCAGAGAACGGGGAAGGCGGCACTCCTGGGATGCGGAGCCAGGCGGAGCCGGAACCCATGACTGTCAGGCTACATCAGGGATGATGAGGAGCCACTCAGGTGTATCAGTGAGGGCTCAGCTGAGTGGACTTGCATTCTGGACCGATCACTCTGGCCGCCTAGCCTGGAGGGGGGCAAAAGTGGCAGAAGGTGACCACCTGGTAAGGGATGATGCTGGCTGCCACCAGGAGACCAGGGAGGTGACAGTGAGGAATGTCCTTGGCCCCTAAACATGGCCACATCGAGCAGAGAGGCGTTCCTCGTGCCCACCCCTCTGCTTAGATGGAATCCTCAGGACACGTGGCCAGCGGGCTGTTTTCAGAAGCTCATGCTTTGGTCATGCTGTGTGTTCCTGCAGGCGAATCTGCTCCAGGAGGAAGGCAGCCGTGAAGATTTCTCACGGCTCCTGGGGAATTTTGAGCACTGGTTGCAGGTGGAGAATTCCAAGCTGATTAGAATCATCGCCATGAGAACTGCCTCCACCAAGGACTTGAGGACCAGAGAAACAAAGCTGCAGGTTTGTTCCTGAGGAAAGGCCCCTCTTCCAGAGGATTTGCCCACAGAGCTGTGTTTGCCACCAGGGACTTCTCAAAAAAAAGGAGCACGTGCAGAGCTTGTGAGCTGTTCTGGGTTGTGTATGAATAATCATTTTTAAAGGTTTTGCTTCAAATATTTTAGAACAACCATCCATCCATCCATCTATTCATTCAGCCTCCTGCTATATTCACCAGCGTGGGAAATGTCACCACTAATCACAACTCCTTTATCAGTTAACTTTTGCTGTGTAACAAGCCATTCCCACAGTTTGTGGCTTAAGAGAACAACTATTTGCTTAAGTCATGATTCTGAAGGTTGGCAGTTTAGGCTGCGGTCAGCTGGGTGGTGCTTCTCGGCTTGGCTGGGCTCCGTTATTTGCTGTCAGGTGTAGGTCAGATGAGTGGCTGTATCTTCTGGGGGTTGGTGGGCTATTGGAGATGGCCATAGGCTGGACCACGTATCTGTTGTCCTCCTGCAGGACAGCCTGGGCTTCTCAGAGCAGAGGCAGGATCTGAGAGAGCGGGTGGGAGCACGCAAGACCTTTTGAGGCTTAGGCTAGGAGCTGGCACAGTGTCACTTGCCCTGGATTCTGTTGGACAAAGAAAGTCACAAGACCAGCCCAGATTCAGGGGGAGAGGAAAGAGACTCCGCCTCCAGATGGGACGTAGTGCTAAGTCATATGGTAAAGAGCGTGGGTATAGCAGGGGGTCGGGGGCCAATCCATCAACCACAAATCTTTCTCCTTCACTCCCACATCTAATTAGTCACCAAGCCCTTCTTGGGTCCACCTCCTGGATATTTGTTATTTCTCTTTCCCCTCACTACCACCGTCTTAATCTAAGCATTTACCTTTTTTTTTTTAAGTGCACTAACAAATTTTTATTTTTTAACACAAATGAATAATCCCGTGGGTACTGGAAGGTTTAATTTACAACCCTTACCTTACCATGCATAGTATTGTGTACACAGTAGGTGATCAATTAACAGCTTTAGAATGGTTTTCCATTTTGGTTAAAATTGAGAAGCTTATGTAACTGAAGCGGTAAACTTTGAAAGTCTCCCTAAAATATGTGCAGCAAATCCTTATTAATATGCAACACTCTTTCATTAATATATGCATCACATATCCTAAAATTGAAACTTATTTTGCTGAAACAATCAGCATTCATTATGGTGAAAAGAGAAATATGACTTTATGGAGAAAAAGAGATAACCTCACTTAGTGCTGGAAGGTCACCTGTGAATTTGTTATTAAGGGAAGGATTATCAGAGCTTTGGATTTTTCTCATCGACTTTGACCAACAAGGCATTTACCATTTTTGAACTTGATGATGACAGTGGCCTCCCAGCTGGCCTCCCTCCTTCCTGTTGGGCCCCCATGTGGGTAACGGCTCATTCTGTAGCCAGAGTAACCTTTCATAATCCTAACTATGACCTTGGCCTCCCCCTCAAGAAAACCGTGTGGTATTGAGTTCAACTTCCCAAGTTTATTGCACACAGTCTTTCTCGGTCAGGCCCCAACCCACCTCTCTTTTTCCTTAATTTTTGTGGCTTTACCATGATATGACAGGTTTGGATTTCTTTTTATTTTTTCTTGCTTGAGATTCATCTGGATTCTTGAATCTGTGGCCTTGGACCTTTCTGGAAAATTCTCCAACATTATCTCTCAAAATATCGCTTCTGCCTTGTTCCTTTTCTCCTCACCTTCTGAGATGCCATTTGAACATATGTTATGTTTTCATTGTGTGCTTTATGTCTCTTACCCTCTCTTGTGTATTTTTCATCCTTTTTTCTTTTCATATAGTTTTCTGTATAGTTTTTTCTAACTTATCTTCCACTTTACTAATTCTCTCTTTAGCTGTGTCTCATTTGCTGTTACACATGTCTGTTAATTTCTTAGCTTTTAATATTTTATTTATCAGTTCTCAAATTTCTATTTTGGTCTTTAAAAAATCTGCTCTGCCACTTTTCATAGCTCCTAGGTCCTTGCTGAACTTTTTAAGCTTATCTCTTAATTCTTTGAACACAGTAAACATAGTTGCTTTACAGAATGTGTCTAATAATTTCATCATCTCAAGTCATTTTAGGAATGTTTCTGTTGTGCATTATTTCTACCTCTTCTTATTGCTGTCTTGTATCTGTGTGTGGCTGCTTTGACTGTGTGCTGGGCATTTACAAATTAATGTAAGTGTAATTTGAGATTTAGAATAATCTTTTCTACAGAGATTATTTTGTTTGTGACTATGAGACAAGTGAAGGCTTTATCATTCTGGAACCACCATTTAATCCAATTTCAGGTCTGGAGGCCCCCTAGACCTCTGAGATGACTTGGAGCTGGGCTATAAATCCAAACAAGGTCCAAGTTTACTTCTGATTCACCTTTAGGAGTCTCAGCTAAAGGAAGATTGTTTATCAGAGTCTCCACTTCTGTAGGGCCCAGACTTTGACCTTTGTCTCCCTGTGAGGCTGCCAGAAGCATAGATCTGTTTCACAGCTATTTCTTCCAGATTGGCAGGTGTCCTGAGTGCAAAGGAAGGTCTGAGCACTGGGCTTACTTCTCTGGGTCTCATCTTTTCCCAGGACTTGCCTCACTCTCTTATTAACTCTTTGATGCCTTAAAAATGTTTTTAATATTTTGTCCTCAGGGAGAGTTTAACCTCAATTCCCTAGTTGACCACAAGTCCTTCCTGCCTGCCTCCTACCTCCTGTTCAGCCACTCCTCTCATCTCCTGCCACCATCACCCAGTCCAACCGTATGAGAGACAACCTACAGTTCACCAGTTAAGCTTCCTTGCTCCTGTAGAGCCCCCATTCTCATGGGCTCTGAGAAACTAAGCTGTGTGTCTGTATCATGCAGCTGGGAGGTTAGGACAGAGCCAAGATCCAAGGCCAGAATTTAAACTCAGGCTCTTGGATTTAGAGCCCAGATCATATCCCCACATCACACTACCTCCCAGGAGTCCCAGGAGTCTCAGGAGTTGCCATCCTGGGAGAAGATTGTGTTGTATTTTGGCAGAAAAATCTGCCCAATCCCAGCATTACTGTGCCAGCAGTGAAAATGCTAACAGAAAGATATGTTCAACAATGGTAGCTTTTATAATGATAACTCTTATGTCAGGCCCTCTGGAGGTCTTGGTTCTAGAATGCCAGAGCTAGGAGTGACCATGGAGGTCAGCACTGCAGCTGCCCCTCTCTTGCAGGAGTCCATCCTGTAATATTTCAGAGAGTGATTGCCTGACCTTGGCTTCAATTTGCATGGATGGAGTTCTCACTTTATGTGTCATGTTGGCAGCTTCTCAGAAGCAATTTGATTAGCTCCTCCTTACCAGCCAGGTGGAGCCGCCTCGGTCATTTGGAAGGTACCCACAATTCTGTCTTTTCTCTGTAGGAGCTGGAGGCTCGCGTACCAGAAGGTCAGCATCTCTTTGAAAACCTCCTTCGTCTCGAGCCAGCAATGGGGTCCTCAGATGAGCTGGAGGATCTGCGCTACCGGTGGATGCTGTACAAGTCCAAACTCAAGGACTCCAGCCACCTGCTGGTAGGTGCTAAGGATGCACAGGTCCCGGGCCCCAGGGAGACCTCACTCAGCCCACATCCACTGCGCCTCGAGCCTCCACAGACCACTCAGAGGGAGGAGGTAGAGACTCTGGGTGCCAGGGACTTGACTTGCAATTTGTCATTTGGCCATCCTGCCACCTGACGAGGCAGGAGCTTCCGTAACAACATCTTTGCAACCTTCCAAGCTGAAACTTTTATGTGCCTTGTCCCCTTCAGTACTTCCAGCACCTTTCTGCCAGAGTAACTGCATCTCCAGTCTGCAGAGGGGGAGCTGAGATTCGAGGAGTTAAAAAACTCACCCAAGTTCCCATAGCTAGTGAGAGGCAGAGCCAGCATCAAACACAGCCTGGTGCTGGAGACGTGATGGAGCAAACGCCGGGGTGCAGGCTGGGACTCCTGGGGTCTAGGCCCCTCCTCCACTCACCTGCTTTGTGACACTGGGGAAGCACCTTCCCCCGTTGGGCTCCCGAGTCTCACACAAAACAATAATAATAGTTAAACTAATATCAGCCTGTGTTAAATGCTGTGTCCTCATTACAGCCTGATAAAGGAGGTACTGTTATCATTCCCAGAGAACTGATAGGGAAACTGAGGCACAGAGGCTGGTCTAAGGATGGGCGCTGGTGGGATGGCTTCCGAGGGCCCCTGAGGCCCTCAGACCCCCGACGCCCGGCTCTGCTGCTCCAGTTTTGCTGGCCGCGAAACAGCCTTGTCGGCCACTAGGTGTCAGCGCAGCCCCAGCCGGGTCAGCGCGCCCGCCGGCCCCGGCCCAGGCCCAGGCCTTCCCAGACGGAATCCCACCTGGGCCCGGAGTGCGTTAAAAAGCTCATTAAATTGAATCACCTGCTGGTTCAGCCTGTCCAGATGACCAGAAGTTTTAGAGAAACACTCCCCTGACAAAATGAATATTCCATTACAGGCTCTGCTGGGATTTAAGTTTCACTCACTTAACTTCTTTTTTTCCCCCTCCGTTTTCCTCTCCTTCCCTGAAATAGCAGACGCAGAGTTCTCTGGGGAAGCCGACTGGATTCCAGAAGGTACGGTGTCTGCCATCTGCTCCACGCGGCTAGAGGGCAGGGCGTCTGGAGGGTTGGTGGGCCTGGGGCAGGCCTCCCGGGCTTTCTGGAAGGTTCTGTGAGGTCTGAGGAAGCTGTATGGGGAATGGGCTGTGAGCGGCACAGTGCTGGGCCCTGGGGCCCTTGGTCTCGGGGAGCCCCAGCGTGCACAGAACCTTCTCGGCCGTGACAGATACGTGATAAAGGTGGGTCCTTGGAAGTTTTCATCCAAAACCAGGACAGGGGAGGAGTGAGCAAGTTAATAATTATGCTGTGACAACAGGCATAAACTAGGACTGAGCCAGGAAACCCGGACCATTCCAGGCCAACTGGACCCTGTGGCCACCCCGGTGATAGATGGCCATACGGCACTCGGGGGACGAAAGAGGAAGGGCTGGCTGTGCTCCCAGCACCGGTTTCCCCTTCCGCCCACCGAGAGGAGCTCGGAGCCACTCCCGCGGTGTTCGCAGGCCAAAGCAATGACAGAACAGCAGTAACCACAGTGATAATGAGGCTCGAGCATCGTTACTCTAGATGCGATATGTTGGCCATTCACTGTGTGGTCTCCTGCCTCTGACCTGTGAGGCCACGCTTAACCTCCCACCCTGGGCCTGGGGAGAAGGCATCCCTGGGGCCCAGTGGCTCTCCCCACTTCTGGAAAAGCCCAGTGTTAACTGGTGGCCCCTTTTCCAAGAGAGCATGCTTGTCTTCCTGCTGAGCATTGGCTCACGACTTCTCGAGCTTCTGGCGAGGTCTGCTCCGAACACCACTGGGTGCCCGAGACCTCTCATGTGTTGAGTCTGTGTTCTCGGGGCTCTGCACCCCAGGACTTCTCCGTGGTCTCCAGCTGGTCCTCCTGTCTCCACCTGCGGGAGAGTGGGTGTCCCTGGGGCTGGGAAGGGCATTCACGAGACCAACACTGCGCTCTGGGCCCAGTGTCAACCATCTTTGTGGACTTTGGCAAGTCGCTGTGACTCTTGGGCTCACTTTTCCCATCTGTAAAATGGAACGATCAAAGCCGACTTTATTTCATGAGCATATTCTGAGTATCATGGAAACATTTGTTTGTTCTTTAGAGGAGATCAGAAAGCCCAGGCTTCCCCGCCTAAGTTAGAATAACAAAGGGTCTCTTCATGAAGTAGAGGAGAGCCCAGAACATCAGGAAGGACAGGGTGGCCCACACAGTCCAGCCTGGGACTCCTGGTGGCACCTGGGGGCCCAGGGCCAGGTGCCCAGGCTGCCTCTAGATCTGGCACCTTTAGCCCCACTTTGGTCAGAAGCCCACCTTTGATGCAGCTCCCAGGTCAGAGTCCAGGGGGCATCATGTCTGAGTCCCCTAGTGGTTTTGGGTCCAGGGACACTTGACTGGCTGACATCTGCCCTCCAGTGCATGTTCCGATTCCAGTGAACGTGGAATGTTCACAGCCCTGTGTTTATTGTCGCTCTCCTCCTTCATTCATTCATCTCACAGATAGTTTCTGAATGCTGACTTTGTGCCAAGCACTGTTTTAGGGACCTGGGATATATCAGTGAACACTAGCAAAGACCTGCCCTGTAGGCTGTGTGTGCTGGCTAGGGGGAGCGGGGAGGGAGGGAGGGCTCACATGTCCTGCTGGTGATGCTCAGCACAACGGCGAGTCTCTGGGTCAGGGAACACTGGGGGACAGCAGTGGATTGTGCCTTTCTAGCTGCAGGGTTGATCTTATCTATGGCAGGCAGATGTTGGGCACAGTCTCGTGGGGTGTGCAAGGCAGGCAGGTTCTAAATGGCTAAAAGAATCTGCTTATTTGGGCTAAGTTGAAAACAAATGGATGTGTGAAAGTTTGAGTTTGCTGCTGGCTGTCTTTAAAGCTAATGGGTCTCGGCCCACCATGGAGGCCAACATACAGAGGCCATCTGGGGCTCTTTTATATGAGTGCTGTTTAAGCACAGATTTCTGGGTTCCACCCCCAGAGTTTCTGTTGCATCCGGTCTGGGGTGGGGGGTCCCAGGGATCTGCATTTCCAGCAAGTTCCCAGGTGGTGCTGATGCTGCTGGCCTGGGGACCAGACTTTGAGAACCGCTGCTTTATTCCCTGGATTTGAACCCACAATCTACCGTGAGTGTGTGTGACTATTGGTGAGTCACTTAACGATGGTTGTCCGATGAATAAAAGGCAGGTCCATCAAACCAATAGTAGACAAAGTTCCCATTGTTAAGAGGCACGTAGCAGGCTCCTAACTGCGTGGAGGTCGTGGAGATGCCTGCAGACGCTGCCCCTGCTTCCCTTTCTGAGCGCAGAGGGATAATGCCATTTCTGGCAGGGGGTGTGGTCCTCCCCTGGTGGTGTTTTGCGGGGCCGGGGTGCGCATGCGTGTGCAGGGGTCTGCACACACGTGCACGGCGGCACACACACCCAGACCTGACAGGTGGAAGATAGATGCTATCTCCCGAGGCTGTAATCTTGCCAACTTAAAAACATTCCATATATTATTTTTAGTCCAAAGGGAAAGGGAAAAAAAAGAAAAAAAAACCTACCCCCAAATGAATTATTTATGAGCAGTTGGTTCTCCACGCTTTTTTCTCTCTCGGCACACCCAGGCACTGAAAGCTCCAGCTACGTCAGTGGCTTCAGCCTGCTTGTTTATATAAACAGAATAATTAAGATTTATTAAATTTGCAGCTGCCTACACACTTGCCAGCTCAGTGCCACCGGATACGTCCGCCTGCAGCATTCAGACGCATGGAGTGTCATTGCGTTTTTTTTTTTTTTCTGAGTCGCAGTTCTTTTTAATATGAGAAGTAGACTATATACATGTTCCCATTTTTAAAAGTAAATGCAAGCATACTACCCACACTGCTTTCTGTCATTTTAATCTCTTAAGTACATCCTAGAGATTTACTCCACGTAGTTTAAAGATACCTCTCATTTTTTTCCTTTTCTGTATGCGTGGTTTTGCAGTGTAACCAC